GGGGGTAAAGCCGGCCGGGGCGTGATGCCGACCACTCACCCCCATCTAGTGCCGAGGTTAAGAATTAGTAGGAGCTATACCTCCACTCCCCACAAACGCCTACATGGCGTATAATGGGACAAACTTTACTTTTTTTTACTCCTGCATATTTCTTTTCGCACTTTATAATTATATTTAAATAATTTACTTTTTAAAAGCACCACCCACAAATTCCTTCTTTGTACAAACTGGACAGTTTTTGGCAGAGTAGCCCACCGCATCTAGTCAACCGAATTTCGTATTGCAATAGTTATCACCTTGTTTACTTTGCTTACTTTCACTCTGTATTGTCATATGGATTAATTAATTAGAATAATGGCCGGTGTCAAAAGCAGGGTATCTTGTAGAAAATTATTTCGTAAATTTAATATACTTCCACTTGCAAGTGAATTTATACTCTGCTTGCTATCATTTGTGGTGGAAAACATGGATAAATTTAAAAGAAATACAGATGTACATAATTTAAATACAAGACGTAAACATGATCTATATGTGCCAAATGCTAACTTTACTAAATATCAGAAAAGAGTATACTATACAGGTATCAAATTATTTAATAATCTTCCACCAACAATTAAAAGTCTAAATTATGATATAAAGGTATTCAAGCCTGCATTGAAAGATTACCTCTTTACTCACTCCTTCTATTCTGTAGATGACTTCATCTTTGCTGAAAATGTTTAAGCTTTATATCCATAATCTACGTATATGTAAAGCAAGTTTTGTATTTATATTTAAAATTCTGAGGTTTATGTAAAATGATTTGTAAAATTATTTTTCATACTTGTATTGCAAATGCTAACTTTACTAAATATCAGAAAAGAGTATACTATACAGGTATCAAATTATTTAATAATCTTCCACCAACAATTAAAAGTCTAAATTATGATATAAAGGTATTCAAGCCTGCATTGAAAGATTACCTCTTTACTCACTCCTTCTATTCTGTAGATGACTTCATCTTTGCTGAAAATGTTTAAGCTTTATATCCATAATCTACGTATATGTAAAGCAAGTTTTGTATTTATATTTAAAATTCTGAGGTTTATGTATATTAATTTGTAAAATTATTTTTCATACTTGTATTGCAGAATCTGAAATTTATGTACATTGATATGTGAAATACGTTCTTGTACTTGTGTTGAAAGTTCTGAAGTGTATGTATATTGTATGAAATGACATGTTCTACATCCTTTGGTTGAGTCCTAAGAAGGATCTATGGAATGTAAATAAACTCTACTCTACTTTACGGTGAATCTGTTGCCAGGGGCCTGGTGTGTGCGATGAACAGAAAAAAAATCGTTTGAATTTTTTGTTTCAACCGGTTTCTTAAGAAAAACACCTGGCTGTTAAATGCTGCTCAACCAGAAATTTCGAATTTCGTCCACGGACAATGTGGTTGTATTGTACCAGTGAGATTCACTCTGGTGGCAGTTATTTTAACAAAGAAGTTGGTATAGTTATAGTCACATCTCCTAGGTGGCAGTTCATTCACGAAAGACTTTCAAATAAAGATAGTTCACTTCACGGAATTTATTGCCCCACTCCCGATTATACGTGACTGCTACTGTGGTTTGTGAACTCTTTTATCTTAGAAGTACTAAGTTGCGATCAAAATGGCAGAAGTGGAATGGCCGTGGCAGTATTCGTTTCCGCCGTTCTTTACGTAAGACTTTTGTTTTTATGTGATAACTTATGCTTTCGAGGAGGCATAAAACATGTAAATCATGTTTACATCACTGACACTTTGAATTACCGGTTTCGAATTTAAATGTATACAAAATGCTATGGAATGAATTTTATGAAATTCATTTTCAACCATTTTCCTTCTATTTTATTGTTTAGAATCCAGGTTCATAATGAGACTAGAACGAAACAGATTGCAGCTTGGAGGAGCCTGATTCTAGATTACCACAAAATTACGAAACATTGCATTTTAGACACAAGAGAGGCACAAAGAACAGCTCTGTTCAACAACACAGCAATTGACAGTATCCTTTTTTTATCTTATTTATAGTTCTTAACGAATTCAAACAAATTAAATACACATTTCATTCTCATGGCTTGCTGTAGCCATGAATGGATATATTAGTCTGTATGAACAGTTCAGGCCAACAATTGATGCCATGATTGAAGAAGTTAGTGTCGAAATAAGTAGGTTTGCTAACCAAACATTTGGTGCAAATTGGTTATGAAACAATGCACCACAGTTTCAAAACTCCATTACAGTACAGAAATTACCAGTGAAAATGTAAGTGGAAGTCTATTCCACATTGTTTATATTTCACATATTTGTATAAACAATGTATCTTGGGTTATAACAGTTGTCATTTGATTTAATACAGATGGCACACTTCAAACTAAGCCATGGTAGCTTAGAAAAGTCATGGGCTGATTGACATGAATTGAATTCCCAGCAGGGAAACTGGAATTTTTCTTATTCACTGCCACAGCCAGCATAACTTTGGGCCCCCTTCATCAACATTTTAAGCCAAAGATAAAATCTGTATCTTTAACTACACTACACTGTTTACATACTTGCATATTAATATGCATTACATGGGTCAAAGTTAGAATAACTACAAAGTGGAGAATGTCATAAAAATAATATGATTCAAAATGCTATAAAAATTTCATCTAAAACAAAGGTTTGAAACATAGTGTACAGATGTTTGCTAAATCCACACATATACAGTAGATAGGTTCATTTATATAAATTCAAAAAACCTTTAACAAGATTATGAGTTGTTATTAAACATTTGGAATTCATCAGCAGAGTAAAAGATGTGTGTATTTAAGTACTGTTTTAATGCTACTTTAAATTGTGCCTTTTTGTTCATAATACTTCATACTTGGTCATAGACTTAAATATTTTGGTGTCAGAATATTATGCACTTTTTTGAAAATATGAAATGTTGGCAATTGGCCTATAAAGATAGACCCTTTTCCTTGTGCTAACATTTTGTGTTGCTGAATTTGTCAGAAAATATTCTTGATTATTTATGATAAAGTTCATTGATGGAAATATATACTCACGTGGAAGAGGTAAAATCTCTAGTGTAGTCTAGTTAGAAAATTATTCTCTTTTGTAATGTAAATATAACATTACTGTTTGGTGAATAACTGTGAAATATATTTCCATATTTCAGTATGGAATGAAAGTGGGCAAAACAGGTTTTGAGAGTTCATTGTTGTTGATATGAAACATCAATGTAACTGCATCCAATAATGCTCTTCTTAACTTATGAATCATTTGATCAATATGATTCTTGTAAGATTTGAGGTTTTCACAGCGGTGAGTATGAAGATTTCTGTCTTCTGGGTTGTTGCGCTGTGCAGTCTGGTCGATGTTAACCAATGTTTCAGAGGTCATACTGCCTCCATCATCATGGCGATGAATATGTTGGTTAACATCGACCAGACTACACAGCGAAACAACCCATCGAGGATTGAACCCTGGTCATCCAGTCCATAGTCTGTCACTATACTGTCTGAGCTACCCCGGCTCCTCAAGTGTAAACAAAGGACTACAAAAAGACAGGACTACTGTGAAAGCATTTTAAAATAATTGTATAAAACTGTCTGAATCAGTATTTAGAACATCTTACGATGAACATTTGAGTGTACTTTAGGTTAGAAAAATCCAATATACCCCTGCATATTTTAGTTGAAACTTAGGGTAGGATATAAGAAGTAGGATTTTTAGAAGATAAATGAGGTGAGTTGTATTTTGAGTGATAATATAAAATGTGATGTGTAGGTTAAGTCTGTAAGTAACTGTAAATACACTTAAAATTCTACAAGTACACATGATAGTGCCTTTTTAAAGTTTTTACCAGATTTCTGTGTCATACTGTTATACTGTAACAGGTTACATTATATTAGGTTACCAGATAATGTGCCAGTGTTACTAGAAATCAGAACAGATTTTGCTTGATTTACCTGAACTGTTGCTCAGGAAAATTGCCACTAGAAGGGATTGTGACAATCCTGGAGGATTTAGCTCGGACAGGCAATGCACAGCCCCTGGATAAGCAAAAACATAGGTAAGCTCAAAACACTTTGTCAGTGTGATTGTCATATAGTTGTGATAACTTGGCATGCATGTCTCTAATTGGCGTGTCTGCAGCATTGCCTTTTTCTCTAAAATGAAAAGAATTCTTTATATTTCAATTTAGCACCAAGAATTCAAATTGCATTGAACTTGAAGCTGCTTCTTGGAACTGTTGTAACACACCACTACATTCTAATAAATGACTCAAAGTAAAGTGACATTGACATGCTACACATTTTTTGTAACAAAAAAATACAGTAACTTGTATTCCTTGTGAAGTATGGCACCCTTGGATCTGGTGTTTTCAGAATAAAATTTATTTTGTGCTTGATGTTCACATCATTATGATAGTACTACATTGTGAAACAGTATATTTTTCATTTATATTGTTGTCATGGCTTATCAGCAGAGATGTGAAATTCCTTTTTATGACAGAATATGAAATTTATGAAGGCATTATTATTCATAAGAAAATGTTATTAGAATGTATTTTGGATTGAATTACTCATCTACCAGGACTGTAGTAACTGATACTGAATGTTAAATATCCATCTATTAAGGACTTTTCTGCTGTAGAAAGGTTGAATGTATGCAGTGGCAGTCAGGAAAAGTGTAAAATATTCTGGGAATGAAATGCTTAGGGTTAAATGAATAATTCTTAAGCCATCAGCCATGTCAGGTGGTTGAAAGGTGAAAACACCAACATTTCTAGAACCAACTTTTTCCTTCTCCTCAGGGTACTGAAGTGGTTGGAGATCCATTCCACGCCCAAGCCCCATATTCAAGGCTGCATGTTAGCCAATAGGGACTGGTAAGCAGAGTCAAGTGTTTGCTCTGTTTAGCCCAACTTTCTAATTGGGTAGCATGTTTTTCACCGGGTACCAGGCCCGACTCAGTGTGAAACCCTGTCTCTGTTGAAATTACAATGTTCAGTTGAATTTCAATTCTTTCCTTCACGAAGCAGTCCAATGGATCTCCAACCGCTTCAGTACCCTGAGGACGAGAAGAAAGATGGTGGTTCTTGAAACATTGGTGTTTTCGCCTTTCAACCACCTGACATGGCTGATATCCTAAGAACAATTCATTATACTTGGTTGCCTTGAGAGATTCATGAGTATTTTCGACTGTAAGATTTGAAAATACTGGTGGAACCAGAACAGAAAGTACATATGTGAAAGGGACTTAATTCTAAGATGTGCAATTTGTTTCTTTTGATTGAAAACTGTAAGTTAGAAATTTACTGTGATTTTCTCCTAAGTCCATACAAGGTTTAAGCCAGATGTCAAGCTGGTTATCACATTATCCTTAACCAAGGGTTTTAGGCGCAAACTCTGTGGCAGGGAAATGCTTAAAGTAATTTCAGGTAATCAATCTTCACTTGTGGTCAGAACCTACTTTCATATTCATAATTGGAACAGAAAATTGCTTTCAGGCTGGTCAGTATAATGAAATCCAAGGAGTTTTGAGGGTTGTGGCACATAAAATTATGGAAAATGATGTAGTATGGATTTAAGATAACTGTCTTCTGGGATGTTGTGCCACGTAGTGTGGTAGGTTTGAAGGGTGCTCACTGCTTCCAAAGGCAACATCCCAGAAGAAGATAATATTCATTCTTGATGTCATGAGAACCAGAAATCTAACCAGGTATGAAGTTTTCACAAGGGAAGGGGTGCACATGAACATTGACACTGAATGTTTAATTTTACAGGATTCTGTGCATTAAAAGTGACAATGGAGACATGTTCTGCGAATGATACAATATTGTTTAACAGGTGGCAGATATATTGGCACACCTTGGAGGAATGGGCAGATCTGGTATATAGCTGGGTACAGAGGTGTGGGATGATGAATACTGTCTGCACACTGTATGAGATCACAGATGGGGACAACTCAGCAGATGAAGGTCTGTTGCCTGTTGATCGTTTTACTTTATTTCACTTGAGACTGTTAGACCTATCATTGTTCACTTATTTTTATACAGGTGAGTGCTATATATCTTAAGTGAAACATAATTAGTATTTAATTAAGCCCTTACCGACTAACAGATATTCAGAAAATGTTATGTTTGGTGTATCGCACTACATTCCAGGAATCCAACCGTTTCTAAAAATAATAAAATTTTTCGTGTTTTGAAATCTTTTGAGTTGTTTAAATTATTTGTGATTCTTTGCAGAATTCCATGGCTTGGACACGGAAATTATGGTTAAAATACTACAGACACTGGAAGTAAGCAAGAAAGCCGAACTGTTCGACGATAATCAAGGCGTAAAGTTCTTTTAATAAGGGTATACGTGTGCATTTATACCACAGACTATTATATTGCGCTGTGTTTACTGTATTCGTTCATTTGTTTTTGAATTCGCTGATGTCGATAGGTGGCGTTGTAATTTTGGGTAACGTTTTGTCGGCGTAGGTAAAGGAAGGTTGTCTTTTAAATATCACTTATTGCTCGGCGTATATTACTTTCACTTATCATCAGCAATAGCAAGAAGAATTGAAGTGCCCAGTGGTGGTTTGTAGCTTTCTGAGAAAGATTCATTGTGCCATTAGAGGTGAGTGAAAAGCGTCTCGTGCTTGATGGCACGTAAATAAGCGGAGGCCGGCGTGACTGCGTTCAAATAGAGGCCAGTCAATATTTTCAAGGACAGTCTGTGCAAGGACGTTATTGTATTTTACTAGAGTAGGTGATTAATATTGCTATTAATGTATATAGGGAGGTCACATTTGGAGTAATAGAGCATGAATGCCACTGCTTATTGAATCCATATTTAGGTTAAACCTTCGAAGCTGAAGCCATCTAAGTAACGAAAACCAGGGATTTTCAACCTACCGGTTGGATGCAACCTATCGTTGTGGTTTGTGTGACACGTACGTTATTTAATGTCTAGCGTGTCAGTCTGTATGATTAAACATGTTTCCCCAATATCAGTAGACACGTTTTATTAATATTGGTATTTGGTAGTAACTTGTTACTATCTTATGTAGGCTGCAGATTAACGAACTTCAAA